TTATTTTCGCCACAGATCTTGCTATAATCTTCTTCGATTCAAAATTTGACTGTGTTAAGAAGGGTTGTTGTAACTAAGTTGACTTGTGATTCCTTAAATTGTCCTAGTTGAAATGCGTCATCCTATTCATAAAAAAGGGCGGGTTGCAAAAAATTGTTCCTCTTGATTCCCAGTCCTCCCCATTTTTTGGGAGTAAGCGCCGCCTCTGAACGGATTCAGTTTTCCTTCTTAAACTTTGGTTGAAAACTACTCAGAATGGCCTAAATACTTTACTTGTATAGTTGTTCCAAATCCTTTTACATTTGATGACAGTGTTTTGCAAACTCCCACTTTATAGCTTCTATGAGGACACCGGGCCAAATCTGCCAAAAAATGTATGCAGCGAAAGAGCCTCAAGCGAAGCTTAAAAATTTTAATGATGCTTTTCTCATTTCAAATTAAATGCAAACAATTTTTTTTCATTTATACAGAGCTGAAGTATATAGACAGTAACGATTTTATTATGAAAAAAAACAAGCTTTGGCTCCTGCTGAATACTTTTAAAAATATTCGAAGATAGCTGTTTGCTTCTATCGTGAGTCTGCGGGACCGCCGGAGCTAGGGGGGCACGGGGGCACAAGACCCCTGTTGGCAAAAAGTGTAAACAAGTGCCCCTTTTTGGAAAATATATTGTGTGTTTTATTCACTGCCAGATATTCTGCCTTTTGAAGCTAAGTAAAATGAAATAACATTTTTGTTGTTGGAGGACTATTCACTGAAATTTCCTTGAAGTTTTACTTGGCCCTGATGCAAAAAGCGCAAGCTCCTGTGATAACAATATCAATAGCGAAGGAAACTGTCTTCAACAACAAACGAATTAGTGAAAAGGTCCGCGTCAAGTCTAAGGAGAGTTAAAAACTTATTTTTTTCATAAGACTGAGAAGATAAACCTAATAAACATTGCAAATAAATTTTGCTTTGGCAATGAAGAACGTGCTCGTACCTTCAGCCGATTGCTTGAAGATTACTTGAACTTGAAATTTTGTAGCTTTTAGAAAATGTTTTATAGAGGCAAAAATATTTATGTTTCAAGTTTCAAGTTTCTAGTTTCAAGTGGCGATGGAAAGGGGCGAATACCAAGGAGGACTAAATTTCTTAAATGCAAATGTAAGGAAATTAAATTCATTAGTTGAATGGGCTTTAGATAATCATAGAGACTGAAACTTTGCTTTTAAAGAGAAATGGAATTCGCTTTGAAGTAAAAAGGGACTAAAAAATCGAAAATTCCTTTCAGCTCATATATTGGGCTGAATTCATTGGTATGTTGCAATAAATCAATCAAACATTTGTTGAGTATAATGCGCCTGTCACAAGTATCGAAGAAGACTATGTGCTAGCTTCTTACCAAGGACCCAATCCACTTACAATGCATATTATAAGAAGAATAGGTATAGCGTATTGTAATAGAGATACAGATCATACATGAAGTAATAATTATAATCTTTACTATCAAAAAACTTTGAAGGCCATGAGATGAGACGCTTAAAACTTAAGTATTCTACTTTCAGGGAAGACAGTTCTCACTATGCGCAATGTGGGTGTCATTAATTTTATAAGTGTCTAAATTATATACATACTATAAATAAATACCACAAAAGCTGTACCATTATTGGCCCTTGCTAATGTTTCGGAGAAAATATGTTTGTGCCCTTTCTGTTCGTTTTGCACCCCCCCCCCCCCCCCCCCCTCAAACCTGCATCTGGCGGCCCTGTAATAAGTACAACCTTTGAAATACCCAAACTTAAATGTTTAAGAATATTTTAAAAACAAGAGATCCTAAATTAAAATCATTCAAAATCCTAAATCATTGAGAGGCTGAGATTATGCGAGAAAGAGGCAAACTCATAAGGTATACAATTTCAAGAGTGTACAGACGCAGACGCCACTAAAACTTCTTCATCTAAGAAATTAGGCGTGCTCCTTTCGGAAGAATTTAACTTAAGATGAGGCCTCTTTTTGGCAATATTGGTGGTGATTCTTCATCTTCGAAGAATCTTGTTGAATTCAGAGCGGGAAAAATGCATTTAAGAGGGACTACTGTGACTGCAGACAAAAGGAAAGGCCAGTTGTACATTCACCAAAGTGATGATTCATTGATGCATTTTTGTTGGAAAGATAGAACGACCGGAATTGTCGAGGATGTAAGGCTACTTTATTTTATCTGTTGATGTAGGCATTTCGGTATGAATGACTTGCTGTAGCGAAAAAGAAGTAGAAAAGTATCTCCGTCCGCGAGCGACGAGCGTTCGAGCTCAGCCAGGCCCTGCACTGCATGTTACCCAGTAATGTGCCTAGACAATTTAGCTTGGGGGGGGGGGGTGGCATTCAGAAAAAAAGTTGCCAATTACACTTTTTTGACCAACTATTTCTCCATAAAAAACTTATTAAAAATGAAATGTATGACCATATAGGCCTACACACTTAATAATGAACAAAGTTAGAGAAAGCAAACAATGGCGTGAAAGCATAAGGAAATCAAGTTTGCAGAAACAAATTTTTGTAGATTTCGCATTTTTGGGAAAATCAATAAGCATGTTTTTGCGAAAAACCATTTTAAGGTTAATCTGAAAAAATAGACTACAGCTTCTTTGAGCTCCTCATAACAATATTTTGAAATTATAAAATTTCCTTTAACCTATAAGAATTTTAAATGGCTTGCATGGCAAATATGTCTCTAATTCTCTGATTAATGAAATTTCTCTAATTAAAATACTTCTGACTCAAATATAAATTATTGAAAAATATCCAGACCTATCATCAGTGAAACTAATTATTACCCAGCAACAAATAATTTCTGTGTAATGAAGTGATGCACGTATTATTGTAATGTGTTTAGAAACATCATGTGGCGAGCACTACATTTGGGAAAATAAGATGGCTACTAGCGAAGCTCGTTCCAAGCTCGAGTTTTACTTTGGCTACAAAAACGCTTTGTAAGGGTCAAACAAAAGGCTGCCACCATGGGAAGAAAAATTTTAGGAATATATGAATCCTAGGATTACAAGAAACTGTATCTAAAATGGATTTTGGCTGGAAGAAAGTCTGAGGCCATATTTTTAAGCTTTCTTTTATCAATTTGTCCCATAGTTTTGTCTATTGTAATGTTGACATAGGTTTGCAACGTTTTTCGAAAATTTCTGTTATCAAATAGACCTTGTGAGCTAATTTTAGGCCAAAGAAAAAAGGAAATCTTCATCACTTTTGCTGGCACCAAGTTATTCTGGATCTTTTATTATCTATTTCCTAAGCCAAACTGTCTTGTGGTACAACTTAGACAATGACCAATTTCTTCGATCAAATTCTAATGTTCAATTTTATATTTGTCTTCTATGATTAGAATATAGTAACCTAGCTAAAAGTAGGGACATTTTTAAGGGAATACTTGGCAAAGTTACTTGCAGAATGGTAGGCTACATTTCTTTCCCCTTTCCCTAAAACCTTTTTATTTTGCTCTGCAGTTTTATTTTGCTCTTGGCACCCTCAGTTTTGCTGGCCCTGTGCAATAGTAAGTTAAATGTCTGAAATGTTCAATTGACTGCATCTTACAGACGTTAGTTGTGGCAAGTTATTTGCAATATTATCAAAAAGAAAGTTGAGTATGACCAACCATGACCAACAAAATAAATGAATAAATGAACAAAAAAGCCGCTACTATTTTTCTCCTAGACTTCAGTGACCATTTTTGTACATAGGCACTCAGATGCCAGCCATATACTTGCCTATTTCATCCACAACTTGGTGTTTTTTTTCTCCATCTTATACCCTGAGGAGGGTCAGAGGAAAAAGCTTTATAGTATATATGTTGTAAAATGTTTTCTTCTTACAAAACATTTTCAAAAATTTTCTTACAGAATTTTTGTTTTGCAAATATACTACTTATGACCTATGGTCACCTTTTCAACCATTTTATTGCCTTTTGTTTGAGTTCTAGTAAAAACATGCTTGGTATGGTAACCCATAAGATGAATATTATAAATGTTCCTAACCAGCTTTATAGTCTACGGCTTTCTTAAATATTGACACCAGTTTTCACTGCCAGGCTAGATGTATTTGTAATAATACAGCATGACAATATTATTGACACACTGGAAATGGTCATACTGAAATCTAAGCCCTTGCTGCCACAGAACTATGTTGTATTTACCTAAGATTTATAAAATTTATATTCAATATTGTCTGATTAATGAAAGTAATAGATTAATGAGAGTAATCTTTACCTAAGATTAATGAAGATATCCAATTTTATTAAAATATAAAGGGATACTTCCTGGGAAAAACATAAACAGCTGTGCTTTAAGACTGATACATGATATCTTTTCATGTACAACTTCATTTCATTTTAGATTACATATTGTGTGAACCTTTCTGTGTGAATTCTTTTTGTTTCATAATTATGATGTTCCATCATTTACTTATCTTCTTTATCTAAGAAGTTACAGAAGATCTCAGGTATTAACATTGAATGTTGCTTGAAAAGGTGACTGTAAATTGAACTAAAAGGGGCTGTTCTCTTGAAGGGTGGTTTTGTTTCTTATAATGGAAGTTTCTAAAGAATCTATCATATTTCATCTAGATCTAAACTAAAGGTATTCAGGAAAATCTTCCTTTGATAATTACGTTTTTAATAACATTGTCACTTTATCAAGGTTATCTACACCTTCAAATTTTTACCCTGTAGTCAAGGTTTTATAACCTGAATCCCCTTTACTGAAAGGGTGTATTCTTTTGAAGTTTAATTCACAAAATTAATAAAAGAAGTAAGTTATCAGAGATTTTTATTGTTTCATTTATAACTTTTTTAGAAAGTTAACCAAACTAGTTGTTTGCTAGTTAAAGGTGTTTCTAGAATACCATGTACATTGTGTAGACAGAAAAAGTACATTTTCTCTCCCAGAATCTTCAACTAGGTGAGAAATTTGTGGCTGCAATTGGTTAAAAACAGAGAACCAATCAAATGCGCTCTCTTTCCTCTCGTGTTACTTTGGATCCACATCTGCTTACCTTTGGACATTATTTGACGTTTATACTCTGATGAGTGTCAGATAAAAAGTACTTTAGTATGGAATTTCTCCTATTTTCTGGGCTATTTTAAAATTTTGCTGTACCAAAGTCTTACTACGAACATAGGTAAATTCTAATTTTTGGATACTGTTGGGATTTTCAGATTACTTAGTAAACAATACTTAGTACTTAGTAAAAAAATTCATGACCTCTTTGTGTGTATCTATATATCCGTAATTTTTGCCAAGGCATCAGAAAAACTAGCTGTTGAGAAAAACTTGAGAGTTATGAATCACATAGAATCTCTTTTGTTATGCAAAAGGAAACTGCTGTAGACTGCAGTTAGACCAATAGTCACACCAAAAGTTGCTTGAATATATGTGACAGTAACTGGAGTGTGACTGTAACTGGTGCTAAGTTGAAAAGGTTTTGCGTATTTGGTTCTAGATTTTGTATGACTTTAACAGATAGTGTGACTGTAATCGGAGTGACTATAATTGTAGTTGGCTGTGTTATCTTGACTTGATGTAAGCTGAAATCTGTTATAGTTTGGAAAACTACATTTGTTCCAAGAACTATTAGATCTAATTCTGAATTTACCCAGCTTTTTGCACCAGTGCCTGCTAGTTACTAATTTAACCCCAAAGCTCCAACAACGTTGATTCATAACTTAGAATCGCAAACCAGACTTCTAAAGAATGGCCTTTTCAGCATAATTTGAAATACACTAACCAAGTTCCTCTTTCTTTAGGACCTCATCATTTTTCCTGATGATGCTGAATACAAGAAGGTACCTCAGTGTACAACAGGAAGAGCATTTGTACTTAGATTTAAACTCTCAAGGAGGAAGTTCTTTTTTTGGATGCAAGAACCAAAAGATGATAAGGATGAGGATTTCTGTAAGAAGATCAATGATTTGCTAAACAACCCACCAGCTCCAGGGAGCACAGGGACAGCCAGTGGCTTGCCCCCAGGACTTTCTTCGTTGGGAGACCAGCTTGGTATGCATATTGCCATTGATTCATTTCAGATTGCATGAGCTTCAACAAATATTTTGCAAATATGTGGCTTACATTATATGGATGTACTCAAGCAACAGTTCTATCACATATTGTTTTATCACATGGTTTCAATTGTTTGTGTTGTTTCATTACCACCAATTGTTCTATCACATTGTTTCCTTCTATCCTATTGTTATTTTATCCTCAAATGCTAGAGACTCTAGCTCAGTTCAAAAACTCTGCAGCTAATACTACCCTATAGTTGATTCTTTGTCATATTAACAAATTACCAGGTTGCTTATAAGCAGTAATTTTAGTTGATTTTACATTATTTGATGTGGTTTCGTTGAAATAGTCTTGTAAAAAGTTTATTCATTACCTGAGATAGTTTTATTTGTTTTAAAAATTATACCAGCATAGTAGCTGGCATTTCATTGAGACCAAACTACTATTCAAACAAATGTTTCAATTTGAAAGTGTAAAGCTTTTTGCATGCAATAGCAGAATCCATATTTCTTTATATATGGTCTCTTCCTGAAGCATGCAAGATCAATTTAATTGCTTACTTGGAGCAGGATTTCAAAGTCGTATTGAAATTATTTTAAAGATGAGCTCCCATTTCTTACTTCTTGACTTGTTGTCTGTTGGGGATGTCTCCAGAAAATATTATGACTATCTAAAGGATCTACCAAAAGTTTTAGAGCTCAATAATATTGAGTTTTTTCAAATCGTCATCGGTACCCTGCCCAATCTCAAGTAATGTTCTTTGATATGATTTCATACTTTCAGTTTTTTCAATATTTTTCTGACCATTTCTGCTACTAAGCCCTCAGTTTTAAGCTAAGCTGTTCACAATGGGCAAATAACATCCAAGTCTTAAACTGTCGAAATGAACTTAGTCTAATGTATTATCCTTCCTAATATGTTCCTTTAAAGAACCTAATATATATGCCTCTTTGCCAGTTGTTGACCTTCAGTTATCAAAGAAACCTTAACTTTGACTTATTTTCCCTGCTGTACGATGTACACAACATTGTCAATTATTTTTTTCGGCTGTGACATGCCTAAGAAGGTATAAGAATCTCAAGCATGATGGTACGGCAGACTCTGTATAGTTCAGTTTTATTTTGTAGGGGATTCAGGTCTTCAATCGCTGCTAAGCAGCATGGACCAAAACCAAATAATGCAGCTGCTGAATGGGACCGGGCTCGGAGAGTCGACATTAAGGCCTACAACTGCAGCAAGCAACACTGGGTAAGTTATTGAGAGTGGTTGCTACGTTGGGAAATTTTTTATTGAGATGGCTTTGTTTCTAAGCAATGATATTTTTCTATTGCGAAAGGAGAGAAGCATGTTTGGTAGATAGTACGGACGAGGGGCAGCTAGGGATGCGAATGTGGGTAGGTGTTGGAGAGCGGGTGTAGCACACCCCACAGTAATTATAACCACAGGTTTGGTCTTGACTACATCTCTAGGACTAGGTAAGATTATTATAGGAAAGGGAGAAAGGCTGGTTTATTATAGGATTCCAGAACGTTTGCGATAAAGGTATGATGCGTGATGGGAAGCGTCGATGCCAACCAATATGTGGAGTTTGCCTATTTTTCGTCCTACGAGCAATCACATTACCAGCCTCTTATCAGGTCAGAAAATATTATTTCTGAAATTTCCTTAAATTAAAGGTGCTAGAAATTATTATTATTATGATGTGTTATTTAATATAAAATTGGTATATTTTGTAGTATGAATCATTCTTAACAAGGTCAGTGAGACGAGTGAATTTTGTGACTCCATTCGTCAGTTTTTGGTTTTTAAGTTGTTATGAGTTATGACGTCATAGAGTCGGCACTGAGATTTTCAAAAATTTAGACATATAAAGATTCACTCTTATATTGTTTTCATTTGCACCCAAGCACCTCGAGACCGGAAACTCAAGCTTCAACAACCTCTGCAGCATCTAAGGAGTCCTCTTCAAAGCCTACATCAAAACCACAATCATCTGCCGCAGCTGTACCAAAATCCGCCAGTCCTGCAGTGCAGTTGAGTGATTTGCAAAGTATATTGGCAAATATGAATTGTAAGTCAGTTATTTAGTTATTTAGTTTCCTAAAACGTTTGTTGTTTCTTAGAATTCACGCGTTGATAAAAGTTAGCTTGGTTTCAGGTGATGAATGAGAGCAGAAAAGACTAGATGGAAGTTTTTACCAATTCCGGTTTCGTTATTCTTCAGACTTCAACATTTTATAAAAGGTTCTCAGTTTTATCTAGCCCTGTTAAGTGTCGATTGTTTAGGCTTCTTTAGAGGATATCTTTCTCCTCCAATATTTTTTGCTCGTCTAATGGAACACTCTTCATTGTCTTCGTTTTACAGTTAAGTGACATGTTGTTGAAATACAAGAGTATGCGAGTTCTGGAATGAGCAGGATACTTGTGTTGAAAGATACTAATCACGCATTGAAATGTATCTTGACGATACCCAAGATAAGATATTGCCTAGCCCATCTTTCATATTTCTTTGTTACCTTTTACGATAAGGTTAAGCATATTCATTGAAATGCATCTTAAGCGCATCTAACTGTAACTTGACGATATTCAAGATAAGATATTGATAAGGTAAGATATTGATAAGGTAAGATAATTTAATATAATGTAATGTAATGTAATGTAATATAAAGTAAGATAAGATGAAATGAGATAAGATGAGATAAGATAAGATAAGATAAGATAAGATAAGATAAGATAAGATAAGATAAGATGAGATAAGATAAGATAAGATAAGATAAGATAAGATAAGATAAGATAAGATAAGATAAGATAAGATAAGATAAGATAGATACGATATTGCCTATCGCAGTATGAGTTCGCTTATTTAGTTTAATGTTTGATCAAATACCTTAGAGCAATTGAACACTCTTATTTCCCGACGGTCGTAGCTTTCGACTTGTTGATACTTGTAAACCCTCGAGCAAGTGGATGATTGTTTTGATGAGCGGTCACATTTGCTTCAAAAAGACTACTACTTCTCAATGCTTGGTTCTTTTCCTGAAGATGTGTGCAATTGTAAGGAATGTTGTGACAATCTATTTTCGACATGTCCTGTCCCCCATACAGGAAAAAAACAACGAGAGAACCTCTGCGATCATATTTAATTTTTTCCTTTTACGATAAGGTTTGGCATATGTTGCCCTGATTTAGAATCTAAAATGTCAAACGCAATCGTGGACTAAGCTGGTATTTCAAAATATTTGTGCTACTTTGTTTAAATTACTCTACACAAACATGTCAAGTATAAAATTCATTGTTTTTCTCTTGCAGCTCAACAGGAAAGTCAGGATCCAGGTAATCCTTTTTCTATGAGGCACTAAAAAACACTCCTTGTTTTATGCTGACAAAAAGTGTATTAGGTCCCTAAATAAATTTACAAAGAGAGAAGCAACTGTTAATTGAACCCCCTTTTGAAAAAAATTAATCTCGTTTATGTTGAAAGAATTTTTCAATTTTTTCGAGTTTACAAAAATTTGATTTTGGCATTTTTTCACTTTTTTAAAACCTTTGAAGATTTCGCTTAAAATAAAGAAGATTAACAGTAATTGCTTCATTTTTAAAAGATTTGAATTTCAACCAGTAATCAATTTTCATGGTTTAACTTGTTTTTGCTATCTTACAAAACAGCAGTTTTTACAAGCCAATTTATTATTTGAGTTGTTCTCTGCTTTCAATGTTTGCTGCTTGTTATTTTATCTAGTTTTGTGTCAGTATTTTTCGTGTTTTTTTACCTTTAAGCAGTGAAATTTTTTGAACATGTTTATTTGGGATGCCTCATCTGTCATTGATATCAATTTGAATTTATTTCTTCTCACAATTGAATTTGATATGATTTTCTCTCAACGCAGTTGATTTATCCATGTCAATAAACACCGAGTCGTTAGCTCCACTGCTTGCGGATTCCGATGTAAGAAAACGCCTCTCGGAGTTCTTACCGGAAGTTGGTGAACTTACAAACTCAGAAAACGAAATCAAGGAAACAATCCAGTCCCCCCAGTTTCGACAGGTACGTGCTACTTTTTATTTGAATATGTGAACATAGCTTTATCGAAATTGCTCAGCTAGACAGCTTGGGTTTATGAAGATTATGCACCTCAGATAAGTAGTCATTGCACGATTTGCAAAGTCCCCATAGCGCCTAGCAAACTTAAAGGTTTCATTGAAATGTGTATAAAGTTTGCTTGTAGTCAAACCAAGTGAAATATAATTTTGTTTATCTTAAGGTCATTCCGCAAATTCTTTTGGGGGAGAAGTTTATTCTTTGCTAGCTTACTTGATATTCAGGGAAGGAGAGGGTAACTCTTAAACATTTTGATTGAATGAGCACGCTCGATTATTGATAAGGCTAGACTAAAAGACAACTAGTCTCATAACTGGCTGACCGTTGAGCAACTAACGAAGTTCGATCGATCAGTAATGACATACAAAATAATCAGCAGACAATGTCCCGAAAGCCTTTGGGATAAAGATCATCCTAGGACCCAGCACTCAAACTACAGAACAAGGAATTGCAGGGACCTACAAATCCCAAGAAATAACCTTGAATACGTCAAGAAAGGCTTTCACTATTAGGCTCTGAAAGCCTTGAACGACTCCCTGGAGGTGCAGCTGCTATAAGATAGATTACTGTGCATAATTTAGCTTTAACTGTAAATAAATTATATATATTAATGTAACTAGGGTATTTATTTTCTTATTTGGTATTTAGTTGTAAGCTGAAGCGATTTTTGTGTATAAAGAATATGAAATGAAAAGTGAAAATTGAATCTCCTTAGCTTCCCTGCAGCCGTGTCTAAGAGTAATTCGGGTAGCTGACCAATATGCGTTTTTATTTATTGTCATATGATCCTTCAGTTTCCTAAAAAGAAAATAGTAAATCGACAATTTAAGACAGTTTTATCGTAGATTGATGTACCGATTATTATCATCCTTTGAATTTCTATCGGTTAAGCAGTGTATTATCTCGCTCAAAGAATGTCTAATTTCAGAAATCGTAACGTAGATTTGTATCATGGAAAGCATCGATAGAGGTAGATCGGGAGTACATTTATCCTCAGTTGTTTTATTAACTTCCACTGGTGCCTTCCATTTTAGGCCCTTTCTTCGTTCAGTGCTGCTTTGCAGTCAGGCCAACTAGCACCGTTAATTCAACAGTTTGGTTTGGGTCCAGAGGCAACGCAGGCTGCTACGACTGGCGGTAAGCTTGCATCATTATAATGTCTCACTATCCGTAAAAGATTATAACTAATGACCGTCTCTAAGGGAGCGGGAATGTTGGAAGTTCGTCGACTGTATATCAATAAAGACAGTTGTCATTTGGCGATCCGAGGCAATTTTGAAATAAGTGAAGAAATCAGGCAAATGGCTTGAATTTTGTTTGTCAATTTTGGAGATAAATTGGTTTATGCTCGATGTTCCGGCATGTCGATCGGGTTTGTTTGATGGTATCGATGTATTCTTGCAATGAATAATTTTAAAATTCCGTCTCAACTTTGTATACCGGAAATCGTATACCTCAATCTATTTCATTTCCATGACAGATATCATGGCATTCGTCAAGGCACTGCAGAACCTAGATGACAAAAAATCGAGCGAATCACAGGAAGACCATGATATGGCCAAAGTTGACTAGAGCAGGTTGGCCTTAAAAACTTTGAAGTATTTTTCGAACAGTTTCCTCTTAAGTTTCCATGTTTGTTCAATTCTTAAATTGATTTATTAACGAGCTACGCAAAATTCTCAGTGTTTCTTTCTGGTGAATATTTAGTATTTGTGTAAAATGCTTTTTCACTTTAGCCCCCACGATGAAATAAAAAACGAGAGGCTGGTTGAACTGTCTGTCGTAGGAAGATGTCCGTTGTTTCGGGGGTAACACTTTCACTGTAGCAAAGTGATTTTGGCAGGAAATTGTTTGTTCATTGTATCGACGTGCTCGTTAAGGTGTTGTGCTTGGCCAATCAACGTTCATTTAGCTTTGTCTGAACCTATCAAATTACAGAACAGCTCAATGCATTTCAGCATTTTCTCGACAGTATTTATGACTATATAATCTATATGATCAGACAACCTTTAATGAAGATATCACGTCATTATTAGATCAAGTTGGTCATAAAGAAGAATCGTAGCTTATTTTAAATAACGTAGGAGCTTTGTATCAGATGACGTGATATTGCAGTCATCGTTAAAAGCAATCGACAATACTAAAGTGGCTTAAACCATCTGTCGATCAACTACTTACTGGCCAATCAATAAACGTGCAAACGGTATTACTCTTTTTGATTGGCCAATTTTGATTGACAGGTGGCCACTCCACTATCTGGCGATTGCCTTCAAGAGAGATTCATTGGCTGAACCTTATTTGTATTACTTTCCACTGGTGCAAAGCGTATACCAGGCTCATGTGTCGAAAATGCACAATAAAACCCAGAAAGCAAAGAAAATCTATCCACTATTTACCTATCCATATTGGCAATTCAGTTCTTTCATTCGATTTAAGTTAGCATGGGCACAATTTCTTTGTTTGCCCTTTAGCAATTTTGTTTTTATCATTGTTGAAATTGTCATATCATGATAAACTATGTCACTTACATTTATGAAGTATTTTGCTGTTCAAAAGCTGTTAAGATGATAAAATGGAAAAGAAATTGATGTGGGCTTGATGGCTGTTTTTTAAAAGGAGAAAAGAGATCCTGAAAAGGGTTCGACACGGGGATGATTAATTTCTTACTCGAGCAAGAAAACATTGACAAAGATATTTGCCGAATTTAGGTAAAGTAGACTTTGCCACGTCCCTCATCAAACATGGTATTAGGCAACATTCCCTCATCATAGGAAGCGACGATTGGTCGTTGGTGCACCAGCACAAGTCGCTCCATCTAACCCATATAATACCTTAAATATATTAATACAACTACATGGACGCAAGTAACAGAATAAATTTTCTGGGCTTCTCTTCTGTGCAGAATGGACAAGAAGAGGTCACTTTTCCACACCAGGGAGCCGATTCCCCAGGTCCTACTTAGGGTATGAGATGGGAAGAAAGACTTACTGAAAGGGCCGATTCTATCCTAAATAAAAGACAAAGAACTGTGAAAAGATCCCTGCAATGTAAGTAAGCCATGGCCCCTAAGAGATCAATTCAATTAACATGGATTCGAAAAACCACAGTATGCTTTATGCTAAAAGAGGACAGAGGAACGGGAGAAAAGAACAGCCTGGAAAGAGCTTTCCTAACAGGCACGATAAGCTCCACTGAGCCATTTAAATGCCCTCATCTCAGTAAGGGACAAACTTTCGTGCGAAAACCGAGCTATAGAATTCCTACTTATCTATTATTACCAAAAAACACATAGAGCGTGACTCTTAACGCCTAGATGCGAATGATACATTTAAAGGAACCCCTATGAATTCAAATTCTCTCTCGCCTCCTCTTCGCATCGAGGCTCACTGTGCTAGCACAGGTTAATTCATCCCGAAGAACTCAAATCGGAGTTGGCCGAGGCTCCTCAAACTTTTATTTCTACATCATCCCTCTTTTAGTTGACTCTGGTAAAATCTCATTCGCTCAACGTTACTGTGTGTTAACAAAAGACTACATGTTGTGTGAACATATGTTTTTAGAATCATTTCGAGTATACCAAAGGCGTTTTTGTATTTTCTCTCTTTGCAAATACATCAAATATTCGAAAAATGTCTTGGATTTACTCTGCTAATGACACGTGAAATTTGTTACGCAATTCATTTTTCACAAGATATGGTCATGCCAAAATTACTTTGCCTGCTAAAATTACTTGAAACACCAGGTAACTTGCGTTGTATTTTTATGATTTTCCTTCATTTTCACAAATGTTACCCTTTCCGCTTCCCTTCCCCTAAACAAATGTTGATAGTAGTCTAGAAAAATATCCTACAAGTTAGTTACAAGAAAAACGCACTCGCTAACCTTATTCTTATCATTCAATAATATCATCACATCATGCATACAAGTAACAAGAAAAAATGCACTCGCCCTGTTTGTAGAAAACCATAATTGTTCCGTTAGAGAGGGGGATGGCTGACTTTGTCTTTGAATATAGACTCTATCTTAGAATATAGACATGTTTCAAGGCTTTTGGCAAGGGGTAAATCACTCTAAAAAATCTCGTACACCTTTGGTTGAAATCCTATTGTTTTGTTTCAAAAGCCCCAGAAATCCTTATGTTTTCGGCAAAATCTCGTAAGCTATCTGCAATAGTGAATTGCCCCTCGGCTTTTGGCACGGGTTGTAGCTCTGAAAAATTTCCGAAGGGTGTTTGTAATGTTAAGCTTTGACTCAATTAGCTACCCGTAGTCAAAAACAGTACTTCTCTGTTGACTACCGTATTTTCCTTTTATTTGATCACGCGCAAACTTATTTCTCTGGAGTGTTTTCTGATAAGGTAACAACTACAGTTAAATAGAAAACGCCTTAAACGAATGTTTTAACGACGACCCTTCGCTTACACAACGCATAATATTTACTCTTTGTCTTTCAATGGATACAAATATTTTAATTTAGGATACAGTGATTAAATGAAAATCGTGTACAGAGTCCAATTGTCTGAAATGATAAAACTTTACTTAGTCATAGTTGCTTTCTGTTTCACAGATTGAATAGAAATTCCGTTTATCATAATTTTATTTTGGACGCAACAGGCCATTCATTCAGCAAATATTTTACAAGCAGAAAAATACAGAATGGCTTGCAGTGTGTCTGATCGAACTAGCAATGTGACTCATAAACGGTGACTCATCAATCGCATACAACCTACGGTTTATGTCACTGCTCTTTCGAAGCACAGTGTTGTGTTCAAGATGTAGATAGGCCTTTCATAGACGTAGAAAGCATTTCAAAAGTGGGGTGGGGGCACATGAAGTTAAAATAGGGGCACCACTGTAAGCTTCAAGTAGGTACTTTACCACTGTTTCTGAAAGTGAGGGCACGTGGTCTCTATGTCCTGGTTCTTACTTCTATACGACCTTTTCTACACCATAGCCCTTCAGACGCCCCCTTCTTTATTTGAATCAAACCCCAACCCATACCACAAAATTTGCAATGAAACGACAACGCTATTGTTGTTCATGTTTAAGCAAAGAGAGGCAGGGGACTAACGACTAAAACCAGTTTCTTTTCAGCAGTCAACGTCGTTGTTTCAACTTTGTGAGCTGTCAACAATGAGAAATGAAACTAGCTTCCTCAGGGGTTTCTAAACTTGTAATAAAGAGATCAACTTAGATACTAGGAACGTACCCAGGCGATGACAACGTGACTTTATTTCTTTGAACTGCCAGATGAAAAAAGGTTTAAATAGTAGATGAGATTTTGTTTTATCTAGATGATCCCATTTACTACATTTCTATTCAAAGATATCCTGAAGAACAAGCTACAAGTCGACTCTTCATATTACTGAGTATATTTCTAGAAAGATTCTCTTTTATTCAAGCTCAAAACACATCAAACCTATCTCAGTCTTACAGTAAAGATCTTCTAGCAAGTGTTACTTTATTTATTTACAGTTAGGTTATACGTTATTAGAAGTTATAAAATTTATGCTATACATCCACATGTATGTAAAATTCTGCAGCTTTTACATGGCGTTTCTAGTACATACTTTTCCATTTTTGATTCTGTACGAAATTATTTGAGCCTAAAAATTCAAGATGTCACTTCGTTCGTGCTCTGGTATTGCCCCGGCCCATGACCTCTTTCGTATTAGGACGTTTCAGTATCCGGCATGGCATCCACGTCGCTGCAGGGGGCATGTGGGGGGGGGGCGTGTCCCTCCAAATGAAAATTCCGGCCACAACTTGCCCCCATCTAGCTACCGCTACTCCTATTAGCATAGTCACTTGAAAAGAACTATGCTAGGAACAGGGTTGTAGCGCCAGCCCCACTCTTGTTAATGCCGAAAAATAGCACAAAAAAGTTTTTTAGTTTGTAATTCTCAGCCAGTGTAAAAGCAAGCAATCGGAAACGTGAACGAGTTTTTGCTGGAAAATTATAAAGTAACTTCTCGGATTATAGTGTACAGAATCCACAGAATCGCACTGGTGTGTAATTGTGTTTTCAGCAAGGGCATAATGGCTTTCCGTCTATGACGTCTATGACGGAAAAGGAGGATCGGCAGAATTTTTGCGAGGTTTCGACCATGGGATTAAGGTGAAATAACAAATCAAACCTGTGTCAATCGTTAATTCTCTATCAATGTCTAGTGGTGAGCCATGCAAAATCCAACCTTGGACAGAGAATGGCTCCCGTCAACTGTTCACATCGGAGTTTTCTGTACTTGTAAATTCTCAACAAAGATAAAGTCAGTTCTGTTTACCACCGCTGAAGAAGATATTTCCATCGTCCCCCACTTTGGCCTCAAGATGCTTTCTGCCTCACTTTCAAGTACGTTAGTGACATCATAAAGACAAAATTTCTTTTCAGAACCGCTGAGGCTGTCTTTTCGTAACATTGAAACCCGATTGAAATTTGAAGGAAAAATTCCAGGCCTCTATTTTTAAGCCAGATTAATCCACATGAATCAATCCTACATCTCAGCATGGCATTCTTAAAATGGTATTTAAAATTCATACCACAATAAAAGGCAGTGAACATGAGGGATAATCATAATTTATCCGCTAAAAACAAGTTCTTTTTTCGATAAAAATGAAAGGACTATGAAAACTAGACATAACGCTAATTGGATGTCTTGATTAAAAAACACACAATAAATACAAGGCCAAACTCGAAGTTGCTAGACAAAAGTTATTGAATATTGTAAACAGAAAGCTACTCCACTAAACGCCATTGAAGGAAGACTAGTGTTCACAACGCAATGGTTTTCATCTAGACGAATTAACTGCAGTTCCAGCTTGGGGGTACTTAGGTGGGGGTTGAACTTCCCGACACTTAGAATACGAGGACAAAAGCTCTCGTAGGGTAGACTCCATGGCAACACGCTTCTTCTTGAACTCTTCACATCGCAACTCGCTGTTAGACATTTGCATTTCAAGCTCTTTCAGTCTTACTGATGCAACATCGCGCCGTCTTCTTGAACTGTAGAACTGTTGCTCCATTTCGTGAAATCTCCCTTCCACGCTGTTTGCAACGTTCTCTTGTTTTGCCTCGCGTGTCTTCTTTAACTCACATTCTTTACTTTGGTGTTCCAGCTGAACCTCTACTTGTTCCTCCTTTCTTGAAAGATCAGCAAGCTTATTTTCTTGTTTTTCAATGTTCATCTCCAATTCCATTATTCTAGCCCTAGCCGCTGCTAGTTTTTCCCTGGCTGTGAAATAATTGGTTTTTACAACTCGCAAATTTTCTTCTGTTTGTGTAATCTGTTCGGCGGGTATTTGCGTGATACTTTTATTCCATTCTCCAAGACGTGCAAGATGACCCTGTTTTTCTTCAAGTCTGTTCAAAGAATATTTCAATTTTTCCGTTGCTTTTCGAAGGTTTTCCTCCTTTTCGCCTGTTAGCATCGTCAGCTCTGTCATTTTCGCAAAGGCTTCGCGAGTCTTCTTTTTCAGCATATTTCGTTCTTCAATGCATCTCTTCTCTTTTTCTTCTAGTTCCTTTATATTTTCTGACATATCGGCCATTTTCCCTTTGATTGCGATAAAGCCAGCTTTAACACCTCGATCTAAGTGCGCTGCCGTTGCCATTTTTCAGCGATTTTGATATATTGCACGATGCTTGAACTATAATTCGTATTAACAGACGTGGAAATATCAATACAGCGATCCAAAATGTCGCTGCATTAGAAATACACTGTTGTTTGGGTAGTTGATTGAGGCGACAGCCCTGAAGTTCTGTTGAATCCGTGGCCTCCCTTGTTATGATTGACCTCTATAGTCAAGTATAAAACGTAAAGACTTACCAGCGCAAACAAAAGCCTATACAGCGGCTCGTGCCCTTTCCGTACTGGTAACGACGCCCGTTGAGCCTGGACCGTAGAAATAAGTACAGGCGAGGTGTCACTGTCAGACAGGGGTGTCTAAAGAGGGTGTTCAACCGAGAGAGTGGGCTAGCTACACAAGGCTCCCCATCTTTAAACTTCTATTTTGCAGTTTTTGTGACATCGAACAAAAATACAAGTGGCCTTTTATTTGAATGAAATAGACAACCACAGTCGAATGACTATGGAAATATCGGATATTGCTCTCATTCTACGAACAATGTAGGAACTGCGAAATCAAAATGAACTTCCTTCGAACGCAAGTGAATCTCCGGAAAGTGACGACGATATCAATGTACATTACAGTGCCGATTCGGAACACGAAATGATCAACGTTCCCTTAGAGAAATTACCCGATTTTGAATAAACAAGCAAGACAGTTACCGGCGATTATGTCTTTGAGTGCTTTTACAGAATGATAAGCAACGTTTTAAATATTTCGTTTGTTCTTTCTTGTTAAGGAAGGACAAATGTTGGGCGATAGTGAACCGTTTATTTCATGTTTGTTTCTTAATTTTACTTCGCTACCGCGCTCATCCGTCTCTAGTGGGAAATTGCACTCAGTCACTCTCGGAAGCCAGAATCTAACATTACCCTATTCACCTAGTTAGCTTCGAATTTCTAACGGCCCTCCATTGTTTATCTATGATGGTCATCATTGATGGAAACCTCGTGTGCGATGGCATACGGCTGTGTGGCGGCTTTGCGGTCAACGGCTGCGAGCCAAATGATTTTCGATAGAACATTGATAGCCATTCTTCAGACAAGGAACAAAGAAAATGAAAAAAATCGGTCTCCTTACCGACAGAGAACAATCGTCTTTTTTGTAAATCCGATAGCTCTGTGTCCTGAATTATTGTGTTGATTTCTTTGCAAGTTTCAAATTACATGCATTTCTTTATTTACGTTGAAACTTTGCAACGCATTCCAGGCAACGATGCGGAGCAGTATAGCCGACAATGCCATACAGAAAAATGGCTGCCGGACAAAACGTTCCTAAACTCGAAACCAGCAAACAGATGCTCAGATTGGTTTCTGTGAGCTGTAGTTCGTAGCTACCACTTTAAATCCATTTGTAACAATGCTGTTATGCGTGAATGGTAATCTCCACAAACATGCTACCATTAGAAATATAGATTCCAATAACGCCAGGAGAATCCTTTTCTTTTTGTTCGATTTCAAACCTGGGCTATATATAGACTACGATAGCCTGGCTATCTCTCTTTTACTTGAGGTTGTTTTTCATCAGTTACTAATTATTTCTTTTTCTGAATATGCGCCTCATTTTTGCAGACTGAATTGCAAAAAAGTGGAAAGTCTTGGAGCTTTTTTGTCACAAAACTGTGAACAGATTATTATCTCCTAGAACTTCAAATAACCCTAAGTTGATTAAAAGTTCATTTCTATTCGGATTCGATTTCCAGTCATTAGTCGATTTTAGTGGAATTTTATTATTTTTCTCAAGTTCACCGATCCTCTTTGATATCCCCCACACAAGTCCTCTATTTTTCATGTAATTTAAAAGTAAGATACTTTCAACATAAGGACTGCAAATCCTCCTTTTCTTTAGGTAAAATGTGACGTCATATATGCGTGTGCGGAATGATCTCTTGGTTGGTGAGCGTTTTTTAGCGTTGTGCTCGTGTGTATGAGCGTGATTGGCGGGTATACGTGCTTGTATAGTGTATTCCTGTGTCAACTCAAAATCGACCCTTTCCCCTTAAAAACGAGCGAGTTTATGCGAAATAATTTCCATGAGTTTGATGCCTTTCCATAAACAGCCCAAGCTATAAAAAGAAATCCTATTTTAAAAAAATCAAAGCTAAAACCGCAAAACTAAATCTAGTTACATTTGCTATAAACGCTAGTGTCGGAAACAAGATCGCATTACTTATTGAAAATTCCATTGAGAATATTTGCTTCTGTTCTTTCCTCTTGACGTAGTTCAGTTGAAAGTGTCCCCCCCCCCCGAATTAATGTTGAGTGAGCAGTTCTATCATTTGTGTTTAAAAACATGCATTTAGCACTGAACGGGGGAAGGGTAAAGTCATTTTTGAAAGGAACAAGAAAGCTTTTTTTAAAGGTCTCATTTTTTTGTCCGGGATTGTAGTCGTTTGATTAGATCTTGCTTGCTTGTTCGACGTTGTTCGGCATCAACCTTATTTCGATTGCAAAACATTTAATATTCTCACTTCTTTTAACAGATCTGAACATTTAGAGTGTTGGCACGGTTGCTTTTTCATCAAGATGCCCAATATTTCTTATTTGAGTTTCTTTTAGATGCTAATGTTTGATTTTTGTTATAGCGTAGAATACGTAGGTTTACAATCAAAGTTATTAAATTTAAACGCGTTGCAGAATTCCTACAGCTGTCAATACTTATGAATACCAAGGAAACTTGTAAGGGGCAATTTTAAAGGGGAATTTTCGCCTCCAAATGGAAAACTAAAGCTTTTATTATTTACAATTATATATGGATATGTAGGGTGTGGTGCGGTTAATCATTCTTTACAAAAAAAAGTTGGTCGAAAGGTACTGGTCTTTTTATAAATTTTAATATGTATGTTAACAGAATTCTGCGTACTTTAGTTTTGAAATTCTAAACTCAAATGAAAGAAATGGGAAAACTGTTAGGGGAAAATATTGATAGATCTTTGTTTATTTTTTTTATCCGCATTATTCAACGTTGGTTTAAACAATAATATATAATAAACAGCGATTTAACACCGACTTATAACAATAACAATATAAGTAAAGATAAACGTGATGCTTACAACTATCCAGTATTAGAAATATATGGTTTGCATAGTCTACACGAGCAAGTATAATCAGCTTCTTTAATTTTTTCAATGCTTTACAATTTTCAGTCGGCGAATGTCTAATGGTAAAGAAATCCACAATTCACTACATCTACAGGATATTGTATCTAGCCCATAAAGAACAGTGTTCGGTTCTTTTTATAAACGGTTAATTTCGTAAATTATATGAAACTTCATTTAACTGGAATATTTCTTCTTTCATAAATAAGATTAGATATCTGATAGTGGAGTGATCGCCTCTGGCCCTTCTACATGAATTTAAAAGTTCATTTCGGTGAGCTAGGCCGGCGAGCTAGTTCATTTTCAGTTGATTGTTTGGAATGCTACCACTCATGCCGGCTTTGAGGTTGGTCATATAACAGATTTGCAAAAAGGTTATATAACAGATTTGCAAAAAGGTTGGTCTTTTAATTTAACAGGTTTGAATGCATTTGTGACTGCATTTTTCGAATTCAACTGACAGCCTTTCTTCTTCGCCTTTTCTCAGTGATAGTCAATGCGCTGCAGAAATCCATTGCTTTTGTGCTTGCTAAAGCTTATTAATCTAAAATCTTATTCACTTCTTGTCAAATTCCTCTGAGTGTTACCAAAGACTTGCCAAGGATTAAAGAATTACCTAAAAGCAAAAGACTGCTCTAACATGGCTGTCGTGCTGCTATTATTAATGCCACTGTTGTCAAAGAATTCAATTGGATAAACGACCGAATTCCAACGACCAAGGTTGACCTGCAATAAGTTCCTCTTCCTTTCATGCAAAAATGACAACCATTCCTTATTCTGTAATAAACCTCCCTTTTTTAGTATAAAGGACCCCCTATATGAAAGTAGTATTTTGTAAATGTAGGAAGTGCTAGGCAACCATTGAATTAGATTCAAAATATCAAGCGCATTTGCTTCTTTCTGATTTAATGTGCTCCTATGATATTATTGAGATCCTATTTAACCAGATTTCACGAGTCTGTATTGATAATAAACACATATTGAACAAGATAGAGAGAGAGCCCACTGTTAAGAACAAGAGAGAGCCCAGTGGTGACCCTGGTCGTATCCTTTATCCAATTTACCCTTGGAGGCATATCTCATTTGGCTTTCTTTTCTCGTATTCAAAAAGTGATGTCGGAAAGGCACGAGTTTTTTATAAGCATACTTTTAGCACACAAGTTTTCTAAAGGAGGGAGTAAAGGAGACAAGAGGGAAAAGAAAAACTTTGCATAGATTGTTGACGGCGGCATTAGACTTTGCATAGTTCCACATTCTATTCTATGGCTTGAAAGGTGCATTTTAGTGAAGGTTCTAACATAGTTACAGGTAGTGAGAAAAGTATTTCTCAACTTAATAGATAGCTTTAAAATTTCAAAAGCAATGCTGCTTTGATTCACTCTTTTCAGAATGACAGCACTTGGAAAGGCGAGATCTCCCCCAATGAATTTCTTTTCACTCCAACTTTTTAGAAGACTTTTTGAAGATTTGTCTCCTTTGAGCTCGATTATTGGCTACACTGCAATGCAACACTAAATCTTCTCCTTTATTCGTATATAGACAGTTTTCATTATAGAAACTAACCGTTATTCTTATAGATATATTTTTTCCAGTTTCTGCTTTTGCTGTTGTTCGACATTGTTGCTGCTGCTGTTAATTCGGAGCACGAAGTTGAAATCAGCATTGAAATAAACCTGTACATAACCCAAGTAAATAAACCAAGTTACCCAAGTACCGATCGCCAGTTTTCAATTGTTTTAAGGCGTTAGCTGTCTTTCCTTCCTTTCCACTATGGCCTCTCACCCTGCAAAAATCTTCGTTTTAGGAAAGATAGGCAATGCTAGGAAGATGTAGATGTTTAGGTTGAGGTTTATATACGGTTGTCCATTTGATTCCAATTAGGTGTAAACCTTCCCCGTGCAATTCCTGAAAACAATGTACAGTTTCCATGTTGTATTTACATTTCCAACTGCCCGACATCTGAAACGGCCGCGCCTGGTTTTAATCCTATTGAGGGTAAACTGGACTGGTTTGAGAACCACGAAATCCAGGGTTTAGTTTTTAAAACGCTTAACCTTCTAGTTCTTTGACACGGAGTGCTGAACAACGTTTGAGTATGCCAACCATCCAGAATGTAAATCGAACTTTTTTGATGTTTTTAAAAGTTAAACGAAAAGTACCAGAAGATGAATGAATGGATGATAACCACTTTGCAATTCTTGTTTCCAGGAAATGAAAGCTATTAGAAATGGAAGCAAGGTAAGATACATATTATGTTTTGAATAGAATTGATTCTAGCAATCGTAATTCGCTAAAAGATTTCTCCCTGTTGTGATTGTGTGGCTCGTTGAGATGTGTATCCAACGAAATACGGAAAACATTGACAATCATTAGGAAATTTGAAATATTTTACCCAATCATGGTATTTGACTAGAGTTTTTGATAAAGGAAAAAAATTACTAAAATTGAATCGCGGAAACCCAGAGGAAACACAGGTTCCACGTACAAGGCATTAAGAACAGAAATCTCGATGAAGTTGTCATTGTTTGGATCGAGCGGGTTCATTTGACTAATCAAGAAGTTTTTACTGTTTAATTTCTTTCAGCCACTGCGTTTACAGTTTTAAATATTTTCTCATAAGCCATGTCTAGCCAGGCATTGAATTATGTGAAACTTGATCTGCTGTTCTTAGATCATAGTTTTTGCAGGAATGTGATACCTATAAAGCATCATGATGCTGTTGAGTCTTCCATGTGTCATTGATGAGCAGACATATTTTTTTATACGTTTCAAAGTAGAAAAGACCCTTCGCTGACGGCATTTGTTGCAGGCATAACCAGAAGAAGCTTTGCAAGTCTTAAAGCTTGTGGCATGAGAATTTTTCGAGGATTGCTCAAATACTGCAAGAATTTTACAACTTCATGAATGTTGTCGCAGTTTTCGTCCAATGAAGTTTTCAGATATTACAAGATATTTCTTTATGAGCTCTTTCTATCAAATTCATCGAGATATGTTTGCAAAACTGCATCTAAATTTGCTTCATTTAACTCATCTTTCATAGCTGAAATAACAACATCTTGCAGATTCCTGTTGATTTTAAAATCAGGCTGATTAAATCTTTCTTTGATTGACTTAATGGTGAGGTCATATACTTCAAATTCAAACTGGGCAGGATCTTTCTTTTTTCTTGGTAATTCAGAATCCGACACACCCTCTAAATTTTGTTTGTTTATGATCAATATACCCTTTTGAAATGATACGTTATTTTCATTTTGAAATTATTTGGGGGGCATGGCCTCCTGGCTCCCAGGTGCTACGGGCTTGATGCCCAAAGAAGGCGATGTCTTTCTGTCAGTGTAATTTGAATCATCTTTCCTTTGAAATAAACTTAGCTCGTGAGATAGGTCGAAGAATTTCATTTCTTCCAAATAAACACTTCATTCGTTGTTATGTTTTTTTATTCTCTTGCTTAAATTCCTGCCTCCCCTTCCGTCGAGGTATGGTTCTTGCTCAAGTTTGCCCACCCCAGCCGACACGACCTCTACTGGTAGACTGACATTGACAAATATCTTTTCAAAAGCGTCCTGCACACTTACATCTCTATCCCTTACAATTTTTTCTCAACATTCTCGGTGGCATTTGGCAGGGGGGGGGAGAGGGGGAGATAAGACTGTTCTGAAATTGGTTGGGTTTGTCAGAAAAACAAATGAAATGTTTCTAAAACAAAAAGGCTTTTTTGGTCCCCTGCTCCCTAGAATTCAACCACCAGTGCCCCCAAACATTATCTGTTAACTGGCAGAGAACAGAAGCAAAAGAGCTTTGCCAATAGAAATTTATATGCTAAAAAATAAATACTGTAAAACAAAAATTAACTTGATGAAAGCAAATACACAACTTGAGCAAGGACTTAAAATTGTTAAATATACAAAGATACGAACAAGTTAAAGGGTAATCTGGAAGGGAACATGGTAACCTTTTATTCCACCATAACAAACTTTTATTAGAAAAAATTAATTGTTTTTCTATAGAAATAGTCTTTTTTTTCAACCTGTCATGTGATGTGATGCCAGATTTTTTTCTAAATAATCACAAGGAGCCTACAGTTGTAATATCTATGGGGAAGAACTTTCAAAAAACTTCCTTATGCATGCATCATTTATCCAGCATAGATTTGATCTTTCCTGTGAAGCCTTATCAGCTTACTTTTGCTTCAAAATAAATCATATAATAGTTCCCTGTTCTAAACTTAAAATCTTTTTTAATCTTATTCTATTATATGATATTCTTAACTTTTAATCATGGGTAAACAAATTTATTCAGGAAATGTTTAAAAATTATCTTCATTAAAGGTACTATTTGCTCCAAGAATGCACATCCTCATCGATAAAAAGTTAAAGAAACATATTCTTCAATTTTTCCACATTGGTTGCAGCCTGATTGTAAGTGTCTCACAAACATGATGGATCTTTTCATTTAGGCTTGAAAAACTGATTTTGCATTTTTTCTGACATCAACTGAATTCTGATTATAGTCCCCCAAACCAGCCTTTGAAGCATTATAAAACCTGGGTTTTATTTAGAATTTTACAGTATTGTGGAGCAATTTCTCTTTTTTATCAAAAAATAGTCATATTAAGGGTATGGTCAAGATAGTCATATTAAGGGACCTTCTAAAATCATATTAGGTAAGTACCAAGTGGGCAATTTCAGTGGCAATTTGCTTCAAGTTAAAATTGTTCTCTTTTCAAGAAGGTTATAGTCTTTGATAAGTAGGGGAAGATCAACTTCAGTATTTACAATTTATGGCAACATTAATAAATGAATTATAAACTATTTTTCAAAGCATCATTTCTAATTACCCACATCTATCAATACTATTTAGGCCTCCTTTACAAGGATACAGAATAATAGCTGGAATATATGAATTTATGATAAAAACATATAGAAAATAATACCAAATTCTACATAAAAATACAAGAACTATAAGTAAATTGAACTGTAATAGCAATAATAGCATTAAACTCTGCCTATTTCCTTAATTCCCCCAGATAAATATACTTTAAACTTACCCCAATATATTTTCAATTTCCTTATCAATATACTCTAAAGTATCTTTTAGAAGTTTCTTTTCATTCTCCTTCAGTAGTATACTCAATGCTTTTGTGTTAGAAACATCTTGTTCTTCGCCATTTACTTGCCCATTACCTACAGTTGATAGAAGTCTCCAAGCCAAAGAACATCGTTCCTTTAGGAATTTCAACCCTTTTATTTTTGTATCTTTTCCTGTAATCATACCTTCCCCTAAAGATTGGGCAAGGTCAATACTTTCAAGTTTCAACATTTCAGAAACTTCCATTTCAGATGCATTTGCAATTTGCAAAAATGCTTGAAGTGAATCCTTAATGGGCGATGGCATGCAGCCTATTGGCAAAAACTCATCTAAACCTAGCTTGGCTACCAAAGACTTCTTGATGTCATGCTGAGTATCTGTCTTGCTTAAATGAAACTTCATTTTGATATAATCATGAGTATTATCTTCATAGAAAAATCCATTGTAAATTACCAGCTCTGTATTGGGTCTAGGCCCATAGAAGATATGAAGTTCATCACCTGCTTCAGTATGAGTTGCTACATAGCATTCACATTGCTTTGCCTCACCATTATAATCCACAGATACAGGCCCTTCCTTGTGATTACACATGTCTAGAAATGGGATTAAAGCAAGAACTGGTGATGTACATCCATTGGATGGAGGAACTGGATTCTGTCTAGTCATTAATGTGGAGACAGCCCATCTATAATCATCAAATGTGAGCTTATCAATAAAGCCAAAGTCTTTTCCCAAAGGATTCTTGTAGAGCAGAGTACTCAGATATGCATATTGCCTTACTATACTTCTCACAATTTTCTCTGCCTCTAGGAAAACAGATGTACTTTTCAGGTTTTCAAGATCCTCAGTACTGAAATACAAGACATTGGAATAACATCTTGGAAGCATTTGGATATAGGCCTTCCACTCTGATTTGTCATGATACAGCTCATATAAGAGATACATGGCCAATGCTACATTTGGCATGCTGCTCAGCATTGGGTCACTTTTAACCAGCTGGCCTATTTGAGACTCCAACACAGATTCTGAGGTCATCATTGCTTCTCTTGGAATACTAGTAAACATATCTCCTTCATTAAACTCTGCTTTTGCAAAAATACCTAATTCATCATTTGCAGCTTTCTTTATTTCCAAATTTTCAAATGAAATATTCTTGTGCTTTGCCCAATCATAGAAGCTCTCTATACATGTTTCTCTTTCAGGAAGTTGACTTATTCCTCCTTTGATATTTTTTAATTTTTCAATTTTCTCAAGCATATCTAAAATTTCTTTTAGAGCATTGTATTGTTCTTTTGGAGATGGGTTTTTCGATGAAGTAGGGCTGACACATTTTTGCAAAAGCTCTGTCATCATTGTTCTGACAACCATGTTTTCAGTCTTCAACTGCCTGTGTTCCTTTGTCTTTGACTTCTTCCCCATGTTCTCTTCTCTGAAAGAAAGCAAGAATTTGAATTTCAGACATTGTTCAGCCTGCTCTCTCTCTAGCCTTGTTCTTTTTTGAAATAATTTCAAAAGGGGGGAGACAATGCCTCTCTACAGACCATTGACATGAATTGCAAAAAATACCATGCTACTATAAATGTAGAATAGGTAGTCCCTCACAGGCGGTTGGGATGCTTTATGTTGGTAAAAAATACAGTTGATCTTCTCAAGATACTTTCATCTATTCCACCCCTTATTATATTATAATGTCATTTCTGTCTCTTCCTGATTATAAGTCAGGCTAGGATTTCAACAGTTAAGGATTTCAGTATGCTGTTCTCTAGTCAGTGGCTTTAACATTGATTATGTCGTTTGTCAATTTAACCAACTCGATGCGATCAAACAGCTCGTATTGGTAGACTTGTGCAGATCGCCCATTCCCGGAAGTAGGTGTAGGGAAAAAATGGAAAATATGAGCCGTTAGTGGGGGGCGACAAAAGTTTTTTTGGTCAAAAAAAACTTGAAATATTGGAGAATTCTTGTGGTTTGTTTTGACGACACTGCCATTCAAGAAACGTTATGGGAGCAGTTGATAGTGCAGCTGCCCGCTTCCTTGTTTGCAAAATGAAAGAAACAGAGAAAGAAGAGGCGTCTTCCATGCTAAAAGTCAGTATGATAAAATATTGCTACGAATAATTAAACATAACTTACTTTTCAGCTGTGGATGGCAATGCCTGAACAGAATATCTATCTTCCCTCCTTTACCGATGCAACAGTGGACCTAACGATGTTGCAAAACCAACAAAGGTAAACTAACAGTCACGTGGTAGAGAGAACCGCATCTGCGCATTGAATTGAATGGCATTTGTTTTTGGACCCACAGAGGGGACAGTGTAGGGGGCTGATCAGATACATCTCCAATGTCAGAAAAATAGCGCATGAAATTCAGACCAAAATTTATGATAGAATTTAACCTTTCTTTATTTCACAAGTTTAAATAAATTTCTAGATTAAATTGAATCATATGCTCTCGAAAAATCAATAATAAATCTCTTATGAGAAATGAAGCAAGGACTAGAATAAATCGGGGAAGTATTTGTTCTGTGAAAATATAATGACAAAGCCACCACTCAATAATTGAAGTAACTTAAAACCCTTTCACATAGCAGGGGTGGCGGAGCCTGGGGGCTAGGGGGCTTAGAACCCCCATATTTCATCAGAAGATTGTTACACGTTCATTTTATAAGGAACCCAGCTCTAGGCTAGGTTCTTTACGGGATTTTTTAAGTTCCTTATTATTGGACCTCTTTAATCGAATTTCAAATATTTCATTTTCATTTAAATGCAGATTGGGTGCCATGAAAAATTCCGCTAAATACATTGTTGAAATTATGTATTAGTGTTGCTAGATTCATAACTGTGTCTAGATGACAGGTGAAAAACAAAGTAGACTAGAAAAACGTTTTATATATGAAAAGTAGAAATTCAATCAAGAAGGAAAATGAAGCAGATGATATTACGCAATGCTACACTTGATGCCTACCTTGGCAACACACCGTTTAATGCAATTTTTAACTCCAAATGAATAGAACCGGCTTCCTGATTTGTGATTGATGAAAATAGTCAAAATTTAAAGTTCCTTGGTCTTTAGTAGCTACACACGGTCAGAGATGGATTTAGCACGGGGGTGTAGGGGTTTATTTAGCGACAACCCCCCCCCCCTCAATATTTTTGTGTCCGTCAGTAGATTTTGCTTCCATTCCGTAAAAATCACTTTTTTGTAGTCGTTAGTGAAAGAATAACGCCAAGATTTTACTTTATTTATCTTCTTACCTTCTTTACCTTAAAGGTAAAATCCGAATTTTGACAATGGGCGTTTGCATCATATTCCAGTGACCTGAAAGGTGTAGCGCCAAAATTCAGCTAGTGTCTAACCCCCCCCCCCCCCCCTCCCTCTCCCCCATCTCTCTCTCTAATCAATGTTGCTTAAATCCATACATGCTAATGGTTCTTTATTGTTCTGCCTTCTACATGCTGCTTCCTGGATCCTTATAAAAAACGTCTACACTCTTTATGTTTTATAAGAACAATTTCATAAGAACACGATCTTCAAAATTGGTCACAAGTTAAGAAAAAATTAAGAACAAGCTGAGTCTGAGCTACTGTAAAATGCAATTTTGAACGTTTCATCTCGAAAACGAGGATCTTTAGCCATTTGTGAGTGCTCTTTCGGTAAATATTAAAGCTTTTCGGCAAATGAAGTTTGTATCACTTTTTTGGCAAATCAGGCCTGAACTCTATTGCGAAAAAGCTAGCAATCGCACTGCTTACACCCTATTAATTTAAAAACAAATTAAGAACAATCCAGCCTCGGATTTTCGAAAAGATTAAGAACAGTCAGCCTGAACTTAAGTTTACTGGTTCTTATCAAAAGAAAAGAGCAAGTCTCGTGCTGATGATTTTCTGTCTAATTCACATTTTTCAGTGTAGCCAGTAGTATTTGGGCACAGATCTCTTAAAATTAGCAAATAGTGTGACAAACGAATTTCTAGTTACTTGTAAATTGATCTCTATTGAATTGAGAATTTGCATGGGATGGAATCAGCCTTAATATTCAGGGATGTAGTCGTAAAAGTTTAACAAGGAGGCTCTATCAAAATATCTAAGTTGTTCATGTCATTAAGTCTTTACATGATGAGGTTTGAATTGAGTAACCAGGTAAATTGACTGTTTGAGCGGCAGCTGTGATCAGAACCTTGGTATCATGGACCCACTGCTTGGATTTCGAACTGACACACTTTCTTTCGTGTTGACAAAACAGATCAGATTTTATCAGCTAATGAACCGTGGTTCAAAAAATGTCTTGCAAAACAGTTATTCAGTGGACTTAGAAAGTATACATAGTTTGCAGATACAGAAATTCAATTTTGAAAAAAGAACATCATTAAGAACACCCGAGTCTGATATTGTCCAAAAATTAAGAACATCGAGCGTCGGCAAAATTTATCCTGTTCCTGTAAAAGATTGTAGTGCATCTAATATCAAAAGTAGGCAAGGCAGAGTCTAGCAATAGCAACTGGTTGTTAATTCAGGCAATTAACCCTAGTTCTAAATGCAACAATTACAAACCAACTGTCTATACAAAACTGCAACTAAACGTACTCAGTAAAAAGTCTTCCAAGAATTTTCTATCTAGATGTGTCAAACTTTGCGTACATTTTCATGCATACAAAGCTTGCAATAAGTTTAAATGTGTCACTTTTTCTGGTTTAGTCTGCAATGGCTGTCCTATGGTTAAGCAACAATCCTTCACAACTTTCTTTGCGTTACACGATTATTGGCTCTATCCAAGCACAAACAATGAGGGAGTGGTTGAACCCCCAAACTTTCTCGAAACTTTAACAAGAGGGCTGCACCCCCTCCCCTGAGCCACCGCTGCCACCCCCTCCCGAACCCACAACTACCTCCTTGTTCATATTGAATTGTTTGCTGGCATTAACACCATGATAAACCACCCAGAAAGAGAATTGAATGGTATTGTTGTAATTTTCTAAATTGTTTGACGTTGAAGTAGATCACCTGCTCCTTTTAGTGATGTGGTTTACTTAGGCCGGGTTTTGCAGGTGCCTGCTGTAGGCCTTCTCATATTCAGTCAAAACAAAAAATCCTCTCATGTGGTGCTCATCGTGTGAAAAATATCTGAATACCTCTACGTTGGATTTTGTGCTTTGTTTCGCGTGTTGGAAAATTCATGGATATCAAGAAACAGCAAGGCTGCCCAAAGCAGAAAAACAGAGAGGAAGATTCAAGGAGGTCTAACAGTCATACGTCCTTGTAAATACCATGAAAGTTTCGTGTCAGATGAATGCCGAGAATATTAAAGTAGTCAGAAAACAGTACAAATATTATTATTCAACATCGGAATAGAAAAAGAATCGACGGAAAAATGAGAAATTTTGTCAGATGCTGTTTATAGGAGTGAAGATCAACATACTTGGTTGAAGATGAAGTATCATTTTCTGTCAGTGTTCAACAGAAAGTAATCAATCAGGAAAGTAACTTGCCAACGTATACCAAAATTTATTATCATAGATGCTGATGCTGACTCAATGATATCTGAACATGTGCTTCTAGAAAAGTCAACATGTTCAAAAGAGAAAAGCCATCTGGACTCGTGAATAAAATTGTGGATGTCTACGGAGTCCCCACTTGGATTTCACATATTCAAGGAAACACAGGTCAAAATGACAACATTGTTTTGGTGATCCCAGGCAACCCGGGTCCGATTGGATTTTACGAAACATTCATTGAAAGTCTCTATGAGACGAGTAACTCAGCTCTGACAATTTATGGAGTTTCACATGCAGGTTTGTAGGAGAAAGTACTGGTAATCAATTGATTTTAAATCAAAACACTGATGTGCTTAAAAAACTATTAATATGTAAAGGCCGGCATATGATCATCAAACAGTTATGAATGGACTATAAGTTGGATATGCGTTTTGATACGATTGACACCTTATATTCATTTACTTTCTTTAGTTGATCACTAGGTTGTGCTAGGGTAAAGCTGGGGTGTTATTTGTGTCCCCAGTTGGGGCATGCCATTCATCATACAGTAGTAAAATTGAACTGGTTTTTTGGAGGATGTTTTGAAACTCCTGTCGAATTATTCTGCCTTTGTCACCATCACATTAAGCAAGTTCTAGACCGGATAGTTACAAGTGGCTACAGGAGGTGTCACAAACAGACCAAATGACACGTCATCTTGCTATATGACACGTCTGCCTTACTACAAGAAAACTTTAAAAGATCAATAGTATAAAAAGGTCGGCATTTAATATAAAACCTTATCAGGCAAAGGAGTTCTTCGTTCTATCATATACGTCAGTTGAATAGAAAATAGTTACCTAATTGTCTAAAACATTCATTCCATCCTATTTTTGAAGTAAGACTTTTCAAGCAGATTCTTAAAGTTGAAGGTGATCTACTATATGATCCAAAGGCGAAACTATAGGCTACTATAGTTTATCAACGTTTTGTCATCATAGAGGTTGGTTTGTACCAATGGGGAAGAAATGTGCATTCTATATGCCAATGTTCTAGACATGACTTGTTCTTTGCTCTATTCTTGTACCCTGCTTGATATTTTCTTGTACCCTCCTTTCCTAGGTCATCACTTTATCCCTTGTGAATGCGACGGCTCTTATGACCCTGACACAGCAGATGATTTTACGTGCAGCAACTTATTCTTGAAGAATGAGGAAAAGTTTTACTCGTTGCATGATCAGATCGATCATAAACTGGCATTTGTTTATAATTATTTGCCACCTGATTCTAAACTGATTCTTATTGGCCACTCAGTGGGCGCATATATCATACTTGAGATAATGCGAAGACTGCATCCCAGTGACAGGATCATTAAATGCATATTACTATTCCCTACAATAGAAAGGATTACGAAAACGTCCAGTGGGAAGTTTTGGACGACAGTAGCATACTTTATGACCAAGCCACTGCTGTGGCTGATATGGCTCTTTAATGCAATGCCATTAAGATTCCAGCTATGGTTCATACGATGTTGCATGGTATTGAGAAGGTTTTGCAATGAAGACAATTTAGCTGGAGCAACGTTTTCGTTTGTTAACCATCATGGTGTGAGCAATATGCTCCAGATAGCAAGCGATATGAAGAGCATCAAAGACTTGGATGCCAAAATTATTGATGATAATAAAGACAAGATTGTGCTGTATTATGGAAAAGAGGATCCATGGGTGCCAACATCGTTTTGCCAACAGATGACAGAAAAGTTTCCATCTGTGGACATAAGACTATGCAAAGAAAACCACAAACATGCTTTCGTTTTATACACAGCCAAAGAAGTTGGACAGCTGGTGTGGAGTTTTATCAAGGATTCTTGCAACTCATGAGCGCCTACTGGACAACCTACAATCCCTGCCAAAAACTCATTGAAACACTCAGTTACTTAAGAGATATTTTGAAAAATTAACCGTTTCATACAAAAGAAGACGGACACCGCAAACCTCTTCTCCAAAAATATTTTTGTCGAGTTAAAAACCTTTGCTATCTGAATTGAATCAATTGGACCACATCGAGCCTCTTAAATTTGAATTAAACAACGTTATTTGAGGGGTGAAAGGGTGCAAGAAGTTAGTGTAGTGTAAAAAGAGTTTTTGTAAGCGCTACTAGTTGAGCAAATTGTTCCCTTACATAAAGCAAAACACAGGCATTTCTGTGCCACTAGTTAATACTTACGTTTGTCTATCCATGATCATATCCTACATTGTATCGTTGTCATATACTATATCCAAGTAACGAAGCCAGATGGTCACTACACGTTAAGAAGAGAGGGCCTTTGCAGTAACTATGAGTACACAAGCTGCTGTCTTTTTCTTGGCTTTAAGGCAAACGACCAGCGCACATTGTCAATAACAAGATCCGGGTTTCTGGAAGTGCTTTTTACTAATCAGTCGTGTTTTCTAGCGAGAGAGTCCTTTGGACTGTCTTTAGGAGAAACATTTAATCACAAAAAGAGTAGTCTAGAAGAGCTGTCAGGGTTCTTTTAGAATTCTAAGCGAGCTGATTATTGCACTAACAGCATGGATAAGAAGCCTGGCATATGCAAAGAAGATCATATTGCTTCTTGAGAACATCTTGTTATTATCGTCCAGTTATTTCATGCATGCTTAAACATTTTTATACTTGGGTTTGATACGAAAAAGAGGGTGAAATGTAATGTTTTGTACCATATAAAGAACTTTTACTTAGAGAGTAAGGCAGCATAAAAAACTTTGTGGCCTTAATATCTATTTAGGCCAATATATTAGATGAACTCTCATCAAAACACTGCATTGTAACTTACATTTACCAAGCATGCATTTTGAGGCTTAAATCTGACAAACATCCACAATTCATGTAAAAACGCATTTTGTTTAACTTCGCAAGTATTTTCAAAAGAGTTTTCAACGAGTGAACATTGTTAACGTTTTGATAATCTTATTACGTGGGTAAGTATTAATCGCTTTTTATAAATCAGTTAATGTTTTCAGGCTGCTTGTAACCCGATAATCGTATTAGCCGGAATGTCATAAATTTAAGCATTTCGAAGGGCAATAATGGAGTATGTTTAAAGGATTGACGATGTAAAGAATTAAGAAAAGGATATAAAGAATAAGAGACAAGAGTTTTTTAGAATAGGTTTACTTTCTGCCTGACTACCTCTCACGATGATAGCTCTAGTACAAAGAAGCAGTTTGTGTGCATATTTCAAGATAGCTTGATAAAACGGAAGTATTCAAAAGAATAACAAGTAAAATATGGCAAAGTCCTAACCCTACCTTTAAAGTTCTATGCTGCAACAAAGTGCTAATAATTAATGAAAAGAGTCAACAAGTTTTAAGTAATATAGAGTGGATTTTTGGCCACGGTCTCGCTCTCTATCTTTCTTTACATGGTAAGTACCTGGATTCGGCTTTTCTCGAGTATGAAGTTTATTAACCTGAAACTTTGTACAAATTCAAACAGTGTGCATAAAAAGACAAGATGAAGAACTAAAAAGCAGAATACCATTGAACTATCTTTAATAGATTTTTCATATCTAAAATTTCCAGAAATGCGCCAGAAAATCGGGAGAAATTCACCCCAAACCAGGAAACAGGGAAAATCATCAAATCAAGGCAGTAACCAGGTGCACCGAGAGAGCTGCAATTTTGAGTTGACTTGAGTTGGTAGTTGTGCAATGTTGCTTCCATCAATTTTTGTATGTCTGCCTGGTTTCAAAATGCCGTTAATATGGCCTCAAGTAAAAGGGCTGCCCTCTGTCAAGAGGTTGAGAAAAAGTAATAAGACCTAGGCCCCGTTCACACGGGAACGCAATCGTTCCGTTCCATTTTTGTTCCAGTTTCTGGAACGGAAAAGGTTACTGTTCACACGGTAACGGAACGATTGCGTATCGATTTTTGTTTATGTTCAGACGGGAACGCAATCGTTCCGTTCCATTTTTGTTCCAGTTTCTGGAACGGAAAAGGTTACAGTTGACACGGTAACGGAACGATTGCGTATCGATTTTTGTTTATGTTCAGACGGGAACGCAATCGTTCCGTTATGCAATTTGCGCGCCAAAATAAGCAAATGATTTTTAATGCGCATGTCCATAATGGAGATAGATTTCATCATTTCGATTTATCTCTGAGCTATCTCTGAATTTTTTAAGCAATTTGAATAAATTGAGAATACAAAAGCGCCCGAAAATAAGCAAGCTCGTGGGAAAATTAAAGCCAACCCTAAAAGGGAGGAATTTCAATGTTTGCAGAATGTTGTTGAATCTTTTAAATGGACTAAGGGCGAGATTCAGCCAATGGTGTTTTTCAAATCCTCCATTTTCTTCGTTGAGTTTATTATTGTCACCTTTTCCTTCCCTCAACAACAACACAGACGCATGCGCCCAGGGCAAAACTCTTATCGTTCCATTTTCTGGACCAGTTCTGCGCGTTCACACGGGAACGGAACGGAACGATTGCGTACCGTTCCACTTTTCGTATCACTTTCACTTCCATGTGTATTTCATCCATCTTTTGTCCGCGATGCGAATAGACGACTTAGAGATGTTATAACACGCAGATATATTCTTGTAGTTAGAATACACACACACATATGAAGCAGATATCGCGCTAGTGTCGGAACGAGAAGAACGGTAACGGAACGATTATTGCTATCGCGCGTGTGATCAACACTCTGACACACATAGATTTTAGCGTGAGACACTCGAGACATCCTCATCAGCTATACACGCGCGGGAACACTATCCATCCGAATCTAACAACTCACCAGCATGAGCTAGCGATACTCTATTGACGGGCTGAATCATCTCTCAGAACTACATATTCTGCTTCTTAATTGTACCCTCCTACCAGCTCAACTACCAGAAGTCTGTACTGCATATATATACTATTATCAGCACTCGTTCATTTCCGATCTCTCACGTCAAGCGAGCAGAGTGCCGCTGTGATGCGAAGCAGAGCCTTCAAAGCACTAGTTAAACGCGATTGCCAAACTTATCATCACCCGAGCCAGTGAGATTAAACACTATATAACAGTGAGTGTTCTCTCCAGCTAGACTTATCTGAGCATCTATCTCTCACTACAGTATGAGAAATGACTATGCCGGTGAGCTCGTACAGTCGCGTGTCAAACACTAATGAAGTAGAGCGACGATAATTCTATTAAGTTAATGATACTAGGGTCTGATATAGCGTGTGGCGACACTCTTCTCTTCCTGCCGGTTCGCCCTAAATGATATAAGAGCATAATTCATCGATATACTGTCAGACAGGATATAAGTACTCTAGAAGAGCTATTCGCGCTATTGCGTTTTCATCTTTCGTGTATATTTTTTCTTAACGGAAGCATTTTCTTGCTCCTCTTGGTTATGCCATATACATAGCTCGTTGCTCAAATACATTGTAATTGGCTTTAGATCTATTAATCTATATGGATTGTCACTTGTGCTTTCTATGAGTATATATATAATTATGCGCGAAGTAGATGCTCGCATGTATGCGTCACAATCTGACCTCCTACGCGTCAGAGATCTACTCGCTAAACACAATACCGTCACTCTCTTCTCGTCAGCAGTTTTCGTTTGTAGATTATACAGACACATTTGCCTCTGCGCTCAAGATTTTATAACATACGGACTGTGTGCGAGCCGGCCTAATCTCCTCAACCGCAATGAGTGGAATCCGCCTCCTTAAAGATCGATGACCTCATCTAGATTTCCGCTAAGGTGTATTACTATAACTTTGCTTACCTAACCTATAGAGTGTGTCGAAGTTAAATGCATATGACATAGAAGGATACACTGATCACTTTATGCCTCCGTTTATATGCGCGTGACATATCCATTTTTCTCTGCTGCACACCTCTCTTAAGTATCAGCCCGATTTAGTGCACTCATCTCTCCAGTCTCTCTTACGCCTACGTTTAGAGTCGTGACTGTGTTGTGAAGAAGAGGCTCGTCAACTTTGCGCAAAGATATATATATCACGAGAATTATCGTAGCGTTAGTGTGGAATACTTATATCGTAATACTCACTTATGTATCTCTCAATTATAACATCGGTTATTTATCGTGATGCAACTACAGGTTATATACACATACATCAATATGGTCTTACTTCTTAAGTTACTCTCATAGACACCGATTCGTCAAGACAGATGAGCACATATACAATATGTTTAATATAATTTTCCATTTTATAATATTTTATTACAGTTAAAAGGTTCATTATAGATTTTTTTCAACTATCACATATATGTTGAGAAGAGTTATTAAATATATATTATAGCATATAAACTCATTACTATGTTGAGACTGTATCTATTCAGAGTGAGCATCAGTCCTCCGAGAGATACTGCCATACACAAAGATCTCTCATATGAGAGTGATATCTCTCGAGTAGATCTATAATTTCAATAAATCTACATCCGCAGAAGCGTGAGAGAAGAGTGTGTTCTATTACCAGAGTAATCAGCGCTCAATCATTTTAAAAGACTCTCTGTCCGTACCGACTATCACAGTTGTCTATATACTGTAGATATATTCTGCGAGAGAGCATGAGCCACACTCTATAGCGCTAGACAACCAGACCAGTGAAGTTCCGTGGACCAAATTGTAGTACAACTCCATAATATGTCCTCTCTCGCTGCTCAGGAATCTGATTGTCACTGACTAACCTCAGCTCTACAGCTGTACTTTTGTTAACGAATAACCCATGACATCATGCATCCGCAGGCCAGCCAATTCAATTATTATTCTGCCCTAAGGACACATCACAGAACGTAACACAGCCTGATCAGGCCTAGCCCTTCTAGACTGTTCCACAGTTTTGGACCGCATAAGAAAAGCCTTTTGGCCATTATCTGACGTTTTAGGAGCGGTAATCTTTAAGATCAGTTTCTGATGAACGCAGCAAACCGTTCTCTTCATACGAACATTTTTATCGAATATTTTTTCTCAAGTAGTCTGGTGCAAGCAGTATTTTAGAGATTTGTAAGTTAGCGATGGCTGATCTCCTTCTTTACAAGATTTCTGATTGGTTACCAGCCAAGATTCTTAATTTATCGGGAGCCCAGGCAGGACGCATTCGTTATGGGCTGCTAGTTTACGAATTCTAGGCAGCTCTATTTTGATTTTTGCAACACGTTCAAGCTATTGATTCATTACAGCAGCCCCAAACGGAAACAACAGTAGCTCAAATGGGGCTCAACAATTCCTCTATACATTTTGATGAGGATGTTCAGAGGAAGATATTTCTTAGAATACTTTAATAGTCAAGGGCCTTGATTAGCCTTGGTCTGATAGTATCGATCATGCTCTGTCCCAAGTTGAGATTACTGTCTATCTGAACACCTAAGTATCTTGTGTTTGGTGATCATTTCAATGTTTCTGTATCACCTATTGAAAAAGAAAAAGATGGTGGAGCATCAGGCTGGCTATTCGATCTTACGGATGTTTGGACCAGAGCTATAACCAAGTGGACACACGAATGCTTTTGTGCCTTGCATAAGCTTTCCAACTTTTTCAAAATACCTACCTACCTACCTTCCTTTCTACTTGCCTTCCCTATTACTTACCTACCTACCTCCCTATCTCCCTTTTCTACCTACCTACTTACTAGCTACATACCCACCTATCTATCATCCTACCTACCTGCTGTGTGGCCCGGAGCATCGAGCGCCCCACTTCATATACACACTCTTTCTTACTGGAAAATAACGAAATATAGTCCATTTCCAATAATGCATGCAAGCAAGCGGCTTCTTTTTTGAAAGGCCGATAATTCACAAGCAGCTAGAGCGAAGATTTTTTCTATTTTACCTTGTGCCCACTATCAATAAAATTTTAGAAATGAGTCCTGTCTAGCAAGCAAGATACAGCCGATTTTAATATATAAACTCCAAAACAAGAACGCAAATCGTTTCTCGACTTTCGTTTTTTGTTGGAGAGCATATTGTAGAAGGAAGCAAACTTAAGCTAGTGATATTATAGCAGCGATATCTATATATATTTTTCTCTGTTGCGAGAAAAAATGATCACTCTGTTCCCTAAATGACAGCCTTGACGAACCCAGGACTTCTTAACCAACTCAAACAACCGCTCTTTTAGTCGTCTTTTTCCTCAGAAAACGCAACGAAGTTAGAGAAGTCTTTATGTTTGGCCGATTTGATGAAGAAATGGTTCTCTACATTCTTATCTCTT